AGTGCTGGGATTACAGGCATGAACCACCGCACCCAGCCCTTTTTTTTGTTTGTTTTTTGAGACAAAGTCTCATTATGTTGTCCAAGCTGGTCTTGAAATCCTGGCCTCAACTGATCCTCCTGCCTTGGCTTTTCAAAGTGCTGCAATTACAGGCATGATCCACTTTGCCCAGGCAATTTTTTTTTCTGGTAGAGATGCGATCTATGTGACCCAGGCTTATTTCATACACTTTTAAACCAATCCCCCTACTAATGTATGGACCATTAGACTGTTTCCAATTTTTTGAATGCTATAATTAATATCTATATAGCTATATATATTTTGTTTTGCATTTCCACAAGGATTTCCATAGGACAGCTGCTAGAAACAGAAATGCCAAGTCAAAGCTTCTGCTTCTTCACTGTTCTGTGATTCCTCCTGGACTTATCACTATGTCCTGCTCATTTTTGATTGTCCAGGACCTACAGCAATGCCTGGCACAGAATAGAGATGCAGTAAAGGTCTTTGTTTACACTGAACTATTTCCATTTTGCTTACTTCTTTCTGGGCTTTGGGCACAAACAGATGTTGCTGACATTGCTGGTATCCTCTTGGACATGCAGTTTTGTATCTTGCTTCCTTCATTCAGGCTTCTCTCTTAAATTTTGTCTGTGTCATATGAGTCATTCCCTAGCCTTTGTGAACCTCTTTTATAATGACTACATATTCTCCTACCAAATGATTGTGATGCAGTTTACGACCATTCCTCTGCTAATGGACATTAAAGTTATTCCCAAATTTATAGTTTTTTCTATTTTTAAAAATTGTTATTTTTTAAAATATATTTTTAGAGACAGGGTCTTGCTGTGTTGCCCAGGCTGGTCTTAAATTCCTACGTTCAAGCAATCCTCCTACCTCAGCCTCTTGAGTTTATCATATTTTTAAAATAAATAGTGTAGAAGTTGGCTGGACGCGGTGGCTCATGCCTGTAATCCCAGCACTTTGTGAGGCTGAGGCTGGTGGATCACCTGAGGTCTGGAGTTTTAGACCAGTGTGGCCAACATGGTGAAACCCCATCTCTACTAAAAACACAAAAATTAGCCATCTGTAGTGGTGGGTGCCTATAATCCCAGCTACTTGGGAGGCTGAGACAGGAGAATCGCTTGAACCCAGGAGGCGGAGGTTACAGTGAGCCGAGATTGCACCATTGCACCCAAGGCTGGGCGACAAGAGTGAAACTTTGTCTCAAGAAATATATATATAATCTCCTTAGATTAGACTTCCAGGAGTTGGGCCACTGCCTCAAAGTGGATGGTTAATTTTATGCCTCTGAGCATATATATGCAGAGTCATTTGCTGTGTTGGAGGCAATTCATGTCGGGAGCAGCCCCAGACCAAAAGTCAGGAGGACCACTCATCGTGGAGCTGTGTGGCCTGGGGCCTTATTTCTTCATCCACATGTCAAGGTGGGCACACTTGGCTCTCTCTCAGATCCTGTCCAGTCTGAAGTCTCTATGATTCTTTGGGCCCTGACTCAATTTCCTTATTTAGCTGCTCCTATGACCACCGACTGAGACTTGCTAAGTGGCAGCCAGGGTCAAGATTAATTCTATGGTCTCTCAATAGGTCAGAACTAAGGACTCACAGGGATCAAAGCTGAGACCTTTGGCTTTCTGCTTGGCACTATGTTCTTATTCACTGAACTAAATAGCCTTGAGAAGAACAACCAACATCATTTATATGACATAAATAAGAATGGTAAGTTTATACTCCTATTCATATTTTGTTTTCCCTAAACAAACTCTAAGCTTTCTCTCATAGTAATCCTCAGAAATTCATGACTAAATAAAACTCATAAGAGAAAACAAAGTTTAAAAGTTGGCCAAACTTAGGCCAGGCATGGTGGCTCACACCTGTAATCCCAGCACTTTGGGAGGCCGAGGTGGGCGGATCACCTGAGGTCAGGAGTTCAAGACCAGCCTGACCAATATGATGAAACCCCGTGTCTACTAAAAATACAAAAATTAGCCGGGCGTGGTGGCACACACCTGTAATCCCAGCTACTCGGGAGGCTGAGACAGGAGAATCACTTGAACCTGGGAGGCAGAGGTTGCAGTGAACCAAGATTGCACCATTGCACTCCAGCCTGGGCAACAAGAGTGAAACTCCATCTCAAAAAAAAAGTTGGCCAAACTTACACTTATTGGTAATCTGAGCCAGCCGTGCCTTCTCAGAGGAGAATGTTTCATCTAAATCAAATAGCTCCAGAGGTGGAGGTGGTAACTCCCGGAAACTGGGAGGAAAAACCTAAAAGGAAATAAAGTCATCATTTAGAAATGCGGGAGGATAATGTAAAGGAAATAAAGTCTCTCAAGAAAGAGCTTGTCCAAAGTCATAACTAACAGTGACGAGACACAAGGAGAATAAGGAAGTCCACATCCTTAATTCCTCAGTTGGGAACCATACCATATGGAAATTCCTACAGAACAGTAACTCAGCTCTTCCCCGAAGATGAAATACCCAAACTCCCATCACCTCGTCTACCCTCACCCATGAGACCCATATCAAGAAAGATTACTAGCCCACTGTAAACAACCAAGTGGAACCAGCTCTAATTACCACTAAACTGACCAAGCTGACATACCAACACTAATTAACTCAGAACGATGACACAAAGCTTGGGACTTAGGTTTGTGTTGAACATTTGATTGTACAACTTTTTTCTCATTTAATCATAAGTTTTTAGGGATGGAAGTTATTTGGAGAACCAGATGCAGATTAGTGTAGAAAGTATTGAACTTGGAGTCAGAGTTTGCAGGTATGAACCAATGGTATGCGGGTAAATGTTTAACTACTTTCAAAACAAAACAAAACAAAACAAAACTGAAAGCCTCTTTTGTAGCATTTACCATTTTCTGTAATGTAAATCCTCTCACCATGGCCAATTTCAAGCTACCAAGCAAGATCAAGCCAACTGGCTCATAACATTTCAGAATGTGGTGAGACAAGATAATTTTAAAGGCAAGTTGAGTGAATGTTGGACTGAAATGTTGAAAAATAACCTATTTACACACATAACCATAACTATCCCCTGGGCTGTGAGAATTATGCTATGAATCAGGCCCCGACACCTGGAATGGCAGTACAGTTTTCTTCCTTTTTATCCAAGAAATCTCATATATGCCCTCCAACCCCACAAGATGGGAATGGGAAATGTTTAATAGCCAGAAGGCTCCACATCCTTGATTCCTCAATTTGGAAGCATACCACACGGAAGTCTCTATAGAACATTAACAAATTAGGTGTCCATGCATGTTTAGAGACAGAGCACTATGACTCCACAAGGAGTGCCACAAATGGCACATGGAAGGGACCACGGTGAAGGCCTGCTGACAAGATAAGGGCAACAGTGGGGCTCTGCAGTGGGATCCCCCAAGCACACCTACTCACCGCAGGCTGAAGGGTTGGCAGAGGCGTCTCAAACTGAGGCTGGATGAGCTGGAGCGGTTCATGCTTCACATTTAGCTGCTTGTGAGCCCTGTGTTCATAATCAAACAAAAAAGCAGGGATCAAGATAAGACACCATAACACAGCATGTCTAACTGACCACACTGTGCTGTTCTCCATGAAATACAGTGGTTCAGTACTATTTTTAGAAATACCAATGGACCCAGCAATCCCATTACTGGGTATATACCCAAAGGAATATAAATCATTCTATTATAAAGACACATGCATGCATATGTTCACTGCAGCACTAGTCACAATAGCAAAGACATGGAATCAACCCAAATGT